AGACTTTTGACAAGCTGAGCGTAGCCACCTGATTTGTGGTCTTCAATGTCCAAGTCGACGCCGTCAAGGATTGCACTTTTGGGAAGATATGAATGTTAGAGCGGTTTTCATTTGAGTTTCGAAAGTAATTAGCGTTTGCTTTTGTTTGCCAACACTGCGTTAAGCGATTGGCTTAAATATCTCGCTTTCTTTTTCCTCCAATCAGAAGTAAAACCAATTAGAGGTAAAACATATCACAAGTTACTGCGTTTTGCGCTGTCTACATGTATTTGCCTCAAGTTTTGATTGGTTTACTGTTGTTTATTGTCAGAGCCAATATCAAATCACACCCGTTCAGGGAGTGCAGTGAAAACACCAACGCGATTTGGCTTTTTTCTACCTTAGTGAAAGAATATGTCAGTAACGTGATGTGCGTCTGTTACTCCAGAGCTGCAGAAAATACGGAAGCTGTACGTGTAAAGCTGTTTGCTGTATTAAAGTAGTTTCATTGGAAAAAAAGCCTATGACATCTTGTCGTCTTTCCGAACAACTGATTGGTTTTGTCGTTTATCATTGGCCAGAGTAAATTACTTTGGATTTGGTTTTGGGACACTCAATAGAAAAGTCGTCTTTAATCAGTTTCTTTTTTCCAATTCATTAATTGAACACTGAGAGCAAGAGGGTTAAATTGAAACTTTTCTCCTACCTTCCAAATGGTCGAATGTCAGGTCTTCCCTCTCCTCCAAGAAACAAATCCCACAGATTTTTAGCAAGAACTTTGGCTTGATCGTCCTTAAGGTCGTTGTTTCCAGTGGCTCCTCCAAGCGAGATAAGAACTTTCTTTCCTGCTTTTTGGCAAGCCAAAATGCCTTCTTCGATTTTTGGACACTTGTAAAGGTTTGGGTGCGCGGGTGAGACAGGATCCCAGCAATGGAGAGAAAAATTCACTCCGGGCATCTGATCTGTGATGGAAATTGACAAACTCGGTAAACACCAGAGAAAATTCAGTAAAACACTCAATGCAAGATTTGACGGGAGCTGGCAACCCTTGTTTGACTGCAAACATTAATACCTGAACATGTAAAATTCTCAAGAGAGTAAAAACGTTTTTGCTTGTTTCGCTGGCAAATGGTGTCAGTCCTTGCGTGCGTCTATACAATCAGTCGTTTATAAGTTAATAAAGATGGTGAATTTTAAGNTGTAAAATTCTCAAGAGAGTATAAACGTTTTTGTTTGTTTCGCTGGCAAATGGTGTCAGTCCTTGCGTGCGTATATACAATCAGTCGTTTAATTCCTTACTTGCTACACTTGCCCCATTGGGGAAAGGATAATTTAAAAGCATATCAGAGCATTCTGTTATCTTAAACAGAATCACTAAAGTTGCCTTTGACGTCATTACTTTCAAAGGGCCGTTACTAAACAGACGGAGGGGGTGGGGGGAGGGGGGGGCGGTGAGGTTATATTCTGAACTGTATGGTAGTCGATAAGGAACTATATAATATTCTCATCCAACTCTGGTACGTTCACTCGTACAAAGAAGAAGATCAAGAAAGAGATCCCCTGGTATTTCAGTCATGCACGTTTATGTTTGGTATGAGAAATAAATAAATTTAGCCTAGCCCGAGGCCTTGAAAGTTCACGGTACATTTGCGTAAGTGAAGTACATGCGTGCGTACGTACGGACAGTCAAGGGGCAACCAATTTTTTTTAGCTTGACTGGTCACCAGATTTCCTTACCTGTTGTGCTCAGCTCGCACCCTTTGCGCGCACGGGAGCTCCGATTAAAATACAAGCATGTAATGATCAAGATGTTGCAGGCTTAGTATAAATAAAGCAGATTACTGACACGAGAAAGTAAATGTCAATAAATATTGGTTAAAAAGAAATACCTGTCATGGATATAAATAAACATTTAGCAATAGAGGAGCAGGGGCGGCGCAGTGGTGAGAGCGCTCGCCTGCCACCAATGTGGCCCGGGTTCAAATCCTGCACCCGGTGTCATAAGTGGGTTGAGTTTGTTGTTGATTCTCGTCCTTGCTCTGAGGGTTTTTCTCCTGGTTCTCCGGTTTTCCGCCCTCCACAAGAATCAACATTTCTAAATTCCAATTCGATCGGAAATTCGAGGGCTACGGGTTTGTCAGTCGTAAGACTGTTGTGTGTTACCCTCGTTAAACAAAGTTTATTTATTTATTTAATTAATTTAAAGAGTGACTTTCACGCCTTCTTTTAAACTTTGTTAGTTATGCTGCGTATGGTTTCCTACCTGTAATATTTGATTAAAGATTTAAAAGGTTGTATTATTATTTATATACTTACCTTTATTGTCCTTGTCAAAAAAAGTCACCACAAATCCAATCACTATAATGTCGTATTTTCTCTTTGCACAGACTTCCTTGAGATCTTTCTCGGGATTCTGGGGAAATTTCCTTCCTGAACTGTTCTGACCCCAGTAAGCGACAAGAAGATGCTTGCCAACTGAGAGAGAAGGAATTTGCGTTCTTAATACGTGAGGATTTGTCTTCAGTCCTCTTGTTAAACAGTTTGCATATACCTTCCGATCGGAAAAACGTACTGCGCAGCTTTCTGCGCATCACTAGCCCTGCTTGTGGGCTTAGGCTTTAAAGCGGGCTGCAATGGCCGGGAAAACGGTGGACTCTAATAAGGAACTGGAGAATGTCGCTCGCTTGATTTATTTTTACTTTGGCAAGCATGAATATTTTTCGGCATTTTAATGTTAAGAAAACAAGGCTCCCTCTACCTGCTGCGGGGCTCTCTTGTTTATACATTAAATGGCGTGCTTATATGGATGTAATATGTAAAGAGGGTTTGCGGAAAAGGTGTGTCTTGGCACCGACATTAGGGAGTTTAAGTAACCACGACGGCGACGCCGAGGACAACGTCGATTAAAAAATGACTTTACATTTTACCTACGAGTCTCGCGATACTCTTAAGTCATTTACTTTGTTTATCACTGACAAAACTTTCACGAAACTGAATCTGGGACAGCGATAAACTTGAAATAAAATTTTAAAAAATGAGCCGTCGTGGTTCACGCTCTCCAGACAACGCAGAATTTGGTCATTTCACGTTGTTAGGGACCTTTAGCAATGACGACGAGAACGTGAACGTCACCGACCGGAAGTTGGGAAAACGAACTTCGAAGCTACCACGCATGCCCAATCGAGCACTA